TATGAACAGCCGTCAGGCTTGTTGAGGTATACAGACTCTTCAAAAAGTTCGCTGGGTCACCTGATGCAGAGTCCACACCAAGAAAAAATCCATCTGATTGTCACTATCTGCTCTCATTTCGTCCGAACGGTGCTTCCAACCCAGCATCTAAAATCTTCTCGACTGATGGCCCCTGAACTCAAAAGCTAAGTTTTTAGTCTGTTCTAACGGTTAAGTCGTGGTTGTCATTGCTCGCATTAACATGCCTCCTGCTAAACATCGGTTTGCACAAAATCATACAGAGGACCAACTCTGGCAGAAGCCCCTCCGCAACTCACGGTCTGAAGGAGTAACGACTGTTAACTGTTTGACTGGACCAGCCTATTCTCAGTCCTGGGAGACTGGATCAATGGCTTGTATACGCCAATCCAACAACCCACTTTCTGCACCGTGAAACTTCTGGGGAAGTTTCATACTGAGGAATTTTGTTGCAGCTCAGAAACAATAGCCCAAAAAGGGAAGCCTCAGAAGAAGTAGCCTCGGAAGCACAAGTTTCTCTCTGACCTTCTCCTGCCCTCCTGTCTCGCAGCCTCATTCTTCCCTGAGGATAGCCAGAGGAAAGCAGAAACCCTCTTGCCCAAAGGAAGTCTTAGAAACCAGAGATCCTTATCCCACAAAGCCATCTCATGAAAGCTAAAAGCATTAATCTGATTCACCACCCCCCAAGACTTTTCTGCGTAAAAAAACTGGTGGTAAAGCAATTATGTGACCTACCTCATTTGACTGTCGCTCATGAGACTCCCATTTCAGAGAGGCTCCTGCCCCATACACAGGAGGAAGGACTGTGTGTTCAGAGAGGTCAAGCGAAATCTAGACAGAGAGGCCTTACCGTGTGTCCCCACTCAGTCTGTTAGCATTAGATCATAGCCTTTTTTGTCCCATCATATTGATGCACAGGTGTCCCTACTCTTTTGACCCCAGGCATAAAAATAGATCATTTCCCTTGTGTCTTTGGCTAGTAACCCTAAAGGCTCCCGGGAATACACGTTAAATAAGTTGCCATGCCTCACGTCCTAATGATCTGCCATTTGCAAGCTGATTTTTTCCATGAAATTAAGGAGGCCAGGGGGACCCCTGGCCGATACACGGGTAAATTGAGAAAAGTATTTAGGATTGAATCTGGTTTCTCCTAGATCCCTACAGGAAAGGGGAGTGAAAGAGACAATTAGCCAAGGAAGCACTGAGGAAAAGAAGCCAGCATTGGGTGATTCAGAAGGTACTCAATGTATACAGATACCCTGCCCTGGAAACAGGTGCAAGGGAGCGCCTGGAAAAACCATTAGCTAAAGAGGTAAGGCATGTGTTTCATGGAATCCAATCAACCATCTGCAGAAGTTAGGAATTAAGGACATGGAGATACGGGTATTCAAGAAAGATCTCTAGACAACTCCTTGTCTGATGACCTGGACCTGTGTGAATGCCACGGGAAGCCAACAAGTGTTTGAGAATTTTATACTAGAAAGAATGTCATCAGACTAGACTGAATGGAGCAAAGATGGGCCAAAAAGAAAGGAGCCTGTTAGAGTTCCTGGACTGTACAGACAAGAGAGGGACTGATGGAGCTACCCAGCTGTGACCACTCCTTCCTTCTTAAGAAAGGGAAGAAGAACTCCAACGTTGGGCCAAGGGTTGGCATGGCCACCAGTGCCCCCAAGAACCAGGGACACCGTACTAGGGGACTGGGCCATCTCTCTCTTGGTCCGAGAAATGGAGGTCATTTCCCGGGTCCCAGGTATATGTCTCACATCCTCGGTTTCAGAGGGTTGGGCTGCAGGAGCCAGGCTGGGGCGACAGCCACCACCTCGCTGCCAGGGCTTAGGGTGTGAAGCTGTTACCCCGCTGGGCCTCAAGGACAGAGCATTGAGCCCCAAGTAGAATCCTTTCCACCCATGCAATCTAACGGAATTTGCCCCAGTAGATTTAAAACTTGCCTAGGGCCCACAAACTCCAGTCGTGTTTTTGATTTCCTGATTTCGTATGGTAAGCCCTATCCGGTACCATTCCCACCGCTGTATTTCGGAAGCAGATAACTTGTCTAGCTTCACAGGTACAGTGGTGGAGGAAAATTCCTGCCTCAGCATGAATCGTAGCTGGAGTTTCACCTATTCCAGACATAAAAGACTTTCAGATGAGATGAGGAAGGGTTGATTTCGGAGTCAGCTAAGACTTTGGGAATGTTGTGCTGAAATGAATGTATTTTCTATGTGAGGACTTTAATTCAGGCAGGGAAGTGGACGGACAAGACGTGCTATTACGGACGGAGTTGTGTCTCCTACGTAGAAGTCCTGGTCCCCTACTGTTTAAAATGTGACCTTATTTGGAGACCGTCTGTACACAGGTCACTTTGTTAAAGTGAAATTATGATAGTGGGCCCTTCCCAGCACAATTGTGTTCTCCTTACAAGAAGGTGGCAACTAGCATCCAGAACTCTGAGATAAAAATAGTGTTTCAGTAAGCCAGTCTGTGGAATACTTTTGCAGTGGCCCTAGAAAGCTGATAGAATAAACCTGCATCAGCAGAATTAAAAGCATGCAACCAATTGAAGTTTCAAAGAACCACACTCATCTCATCACAGTTTTCCCCCTTAAACTCCAAATGAACATCCCTGGACAACTAACTCTTACTAGAAAAGACTGGGACACCTGATCACACTGTGTGCTGTGGAGCTGCAGGTGCTGCAAAGGCTGACAGGGTTCCGAGTGGAGCTCGTGCTGCTCCGTCAGACAACACACCATCCTCCCATGATACGTAGAGGCCAGTCATGAAGATTTTCAAGAACAAAAGGTTCTAGCCTGAGGAAAAGCAGAATCAGATAAATCTAAGCAAGTGAGATTCCCTTACCAGGGAGCCTAGAAGAGGTCTTGTTCCTTACACCTTTTGTTGCACTTTTCTCTGTAACGTGTTTGGGTCCTTGCCTATGTTTTGAAATGCACTTTGTGTTACAGGAGTGCTGACAAAATGTTTGACTGCGCTACGTTTGTCCCGTTCATTACTATTTTCCCTACCCTTGATGCTTCTTATTTGCTGTTTATGCAGTAAAGCCGTTTCCCTTAGTTGGTGTCTTCTGTAACCCACAGCGTTGCATTACTATTGCTCGCTCGGTTCCCTTTCTCCTCAATCACCCGCTGAAATCTGTACCAAACGTGTGAGCTTCCTCGTCTGAGCTTCACATGAAACCACCCTTTTCCTCTTTCTTCCTACATTTTGCCAGCATCAGTCCCCTTGCCCCCGACTCTTCACTTCCCAGAGCCCAATCAGATTTCACTGCTAACCCTATTTTACTTACGCTCCTCTTTGATGTCTGAATTACAAGTGGAAAACACATAGTCCAGGGTAAAATACCCAACGGATTGGTTTCTCAAAAAGACTTGTCTAATCACACAGATACGCAAGGATAACTTTGGAAGTTTATTAGCATGTCTTAATTCACAGAAACATTGGCAATTTACAGCAAGACAATTCACATAAAGAGAATTAAGTCACGGAGTGAGATGTGGCGTTTTGGAGCAGGCACATAGCTCTGTCTCTGAGAGGGAACAGGTTTCTGCGAAGCGTCCTTGGTTCTCGACATGTTATTCTGGACATGTAGGACCATTGACGGCACCATCCAGAGGGATTTGTTGTGGCTGATTTTGTGGGGGCTTTTCTTGGTCTCCTTGTGCAGTAAGTATTTCTCTTCAAACTATTTTCACAACATGTTTCTAATATTCTGGAAACAGAGAAAGTAACAAATCCCGATGAGGGGACTTCCTGTTCTGCATCCTTTCCCTATGGATCCCGAGTGGCGCTCTGAGGGTGAAGCTTCCCCGCTTCCCATCTGCACTACTCAGGGAAGCTGTGGCTACTATCCTGCCCTGCCCCCATTTCCCTCTTGGCCAGCGGCCGTCTGTCAAAGTGGAATAATCCACGTGGCTACGTCTTAGGTCCTCTGGGGCGGTACTTTCTCACTTCTGAGGGGCCTCAAGAAAAGTTGATTTTTTGTCATTTATCCAGCTCTTGTGTCACGCTTTGACTGAGCGTGCCATCCTTCACTGGTTCCTACATATGAAGGAGAAGGGTTGTTTATGAGATGTTTGCAAATGCACGGGAAACACTTAACAAAAATGGCCATGTATTGAGCTTCAAGGCACCACAATGATAAATTCCTGTGGGTTGGAATCCCAGAGCATGTTCTCCTGTCCACATACTCGGGAGGCTAGAAAATGGATTTAAAAGAAAAGCAAGGGAAAGTCACCAGCTGCTCTGAAATTCAGCAACACACTTATAGAAAAAAACGCTAAAAACGTAAACACTTGAGAGCCAGAAGAAAGCACAATGAAAGGCAGCGTATGTTAACATTAATATGAATATTAATATGTAACTCTCTTGAGGAAATAAGCACGATCTTACTTCTCCTAATGGCTGACAATGCTCTGCATAACTTGATGCTGGGAGCAAGGAACATATGCGAATTAATTTCAGCTTTAGATTCATAACCTAAAATGACGGTGATGAGAAACAGTGAAAACAAAACCGTCAAGTGAAGAATCACACCCCTGTCCCTGGAACCACCAGGCTGAATACCACAGGAAGGCTGCTGTGGGTTCAGCCTGGGTCACTCCCCACATTGGGACAATGACTGTTGCTCATAGACTGCAGGTCAGTCTTTCGCTTCGCCGCTGTACCAGTAGACCACATGAGCTGTTTGCGTGGACACTCCCAAATCCCACTGATGCATACCTGGATGTAAGGAAGGGTCCTGTTCAAAAAGAAACGAAAAGATTACTGTCAGGCCCAAAACAGAATGAATTGCATGAGTGATCTCAGACTCGAGGAAGTGGGAAAATGAATGGATCCCTGAAACTGTTGTTTCGCTATATGTACACTGTCAGTGGGCCTCGTTTGCTTATTTACGTGGATTCCTGACGGGAGAGATGTTGAAAAGCTTTCAGATGGTTACCTTGCTTCTTCCATCGGCGTATTCACTTTCTCTGTTTCCATAACGCACCTAATGAAGTTCTGGAAAATTCCACCGTGCGGTCGCAGGAGAAGGAGAGTGAAAAAGGCGAGTATCAGTACATCGATAATACCACCGTAAAGATAACCTAGAAAGATAACTAAGAAAAAGGGCCAATTGGGAAACTGAGGAAATGAAACAGGGTCACGGGAAAACCCGCTGCTTTTCCTTGCAGCAAATTGCTCTACAGATATATTGGAGCTGACCGTGTTCAGTACCGATGGAAAAGTGCCTGAAAACCCCCAGGACACCGCACGACACATGCCTGCTAAGTCACAACAGTGTCACCCACCCCAGCCTCCAGTGGGGTCCCCCCCTTAACGGGCCACTGGTCTTTCGGGCCACTTGCGGTGGCTCTGAACAGAGCCTTTGGGTTTCCGTGGTGCTCAGGCGTTGCTGAGGCCGCTCACTTGCTCCTGGTGTACCTGAGGATGGCATTCGTGCCCTGGAGCTCCGCGAACCTGCCCATCTTCCCCGGCAGCAGCAGGCGCACAGCAATCTGGATGTCCCGGGGGGTGATGGTCACGCGCTTGGCGTAGCGAGCCAGTCGACCAGCCTCGGTGGCGATGCGGTCCAATATGTCACGAATCATAGAATCCATGACACTCAGGGCCTCCTGGGAAAGGCTGAGGCCCTCGTGAACCTGTTTCAGCGCTGAGGGGAAATAGGTGACGAAGCTGTCCTGGCCGCGGTTGGCGTGGCACCTGCGGGACCCTCGGCGGGACCCTCGGCGCCGTCGCTTCTCCTGCTTCTGGGCCGTCAAGGAGCTGGCCTCTTTGGGTTCCTGGGTGCTCTGGTCTTCCTCCGAGGTTGGCTTAGAGGAAGGCTCAGCCATGACGGAGGCAGCGGCCACTAGATGGCAACAACAGACGACGACGGTTGGGCACCCGGGAAGGTTGGGGGCGGGGCACTTTGGAGTGGCCGCGTGGTTCTACGTCACAGACCAACTCGACATCTGGTTGGGTGAAGTGTTACCCAGGGAGCCTGTCAGCAAACGTCACTGCCTTGAAGGCGACCGGATGATCCTGTTGCTTGGCGTCGTGACAACCATCACAGTGGGCGTCTCCCGGCCTGAGTGGCCCCCTACCTCAAAGTTACACAGACAGATGGCCCACAGGGCACATCAGCCCTCCTCAGCTGATCCACGCCACACCGTCAGCATTTCCAAAGGTGTCCCTGAAAACTCCCAAAGGTTAGCAATTTCAGCTCAGGCTCCTGAAAAGAGCTTGACCTCCTGAGCCCAAGTCCGTTATGAGGGAGGAATGACTGTGGCCACGTGCGGACCATTCTGAGATGGGTGCCTCTCAGAATCTACCGCTATCCTGGGCTCGGCCAGCACGGTTTGAGCAGGAACTCCCTGACATGGCTGCCGAGGGCTCCGGGGCATAAGAAAGACCTGACGGTCTGGCTCCCGTCTTCAGTCGCGATCAACACCTTCAGTGAATGTGGATAAGGAACAATGGCCAAACCACAGTCTCCAAGCAGACAACACAAACAAACAAAAATTGGGGTGCTTGTAAAAGCATTTCCAATCCTTAAACGTGTACGAAATTTAAAACTGTTTTCTGAACAGTATTTTGATCCCAAAATACTCTGAATGTTAGTGTCGGTGAATAAGCGATGTTGGCTGAAAAAAGCACTAGCCCAGTTCTCTAAGAAACCTTCTGATGGAGAAAAATTCAATCTATGAAATCGGAAACATTTTGAGGTTGAACAAATACCCTTCAAGAATATTGATAATACATTCAGAAACATTTCTTAAATACATGAATGTAAAACATAAATCCCAGAAATTGAACCAAACAAGGATTTAACGATTAAGAAGAATTGAGACGTGGAGATCACCAGGAAGGTACCATCCAAATTCCAATGCTGCTTCCTCTCAGACTTTTGAGATCAGGTCACTTATTCTTAATAAGATTGTTCCCGGTTTACAGAGGAAAAAAAAAAAAAAATTTTTTTTTTTTTTTTTTTTTTTTTTTTCAGAGTCTTGCTCTGTCATCCAGGCTGGAGTGCAGTGGCACGATCTCAGCTCACTTGAAACCTCTGTCTCCCGGGTTCAAGTGATGCTCCCACCTCAGCCTCCCGAGTAGCTGGGACTAGAGGCACGTGCCACCACATCCGGCAAACTTTTTAATTTTTTAGTTTTGGAAAGACCGGGTTTCATTTTGTTTCTCCAGGATGGTTCCAAACTCTAGACTCACACGATCCTCCTGCCTAGGCCTCCCAAGGTGCTGGGATTACAGGCATATGAGCTACCGTGCTCGGCAGACAACATTTATTTCAAGAAAACACAACATGATGTTGATTCCCATTTCAGGATGCATACTAAAAAAAAAAAAAAAAAAAAAAAAAAATCTGAGCAGCTCATTTATAAATGTGGTTACAAAATTGTACCTTAAATATTATTAATTAAATCACATTACACACACACACGCACACAATAAGGGAAACAGTTTACTGCTATAAATAACCATTTAGAAACATCAGAGACAAACATTACTAATGGAAGAAGCAGACCTCATACAATCTTTTTACATCCTTGCGTCTATTATAGAATTCATTTAAATACATAACAGAAACCCACAGTGCAGAAATTGCTAAATCAGAAATTCATTGAACACACCTTTTTCAAGCTTCCTAGAAACTGAAGTAACTACTCTAACGCATTCACATTTGTCTGATTCTAATATTTCCCATTCTACAATCTTTTTTGATGCAGAGCTTAATGTCCTGTGAGTACGCATCACTCAGGATGAAAGCATCCAATGAGAGCACCCAAACCCCACTCTCCACTGGAATGTATCTTCAGCCCTGGGCCTCAGCCATTGGCTCAAGATGGGAGCAGGTGACCTGACCTGATCCATTAAGTGCCCTCCTAGCTGTTCAGGCTTGTAAATTGAGAAGAAAATTAGTTTGTGATTTTTGTCTACTTTATATTTCTTTGTTCGATTTTTTTTTTTTTGCCTTACCGTAATTGTGGTGATTTCAGGATATGAATCCAAAGCTGTGAGTAAGCATGTGTCCTACCTCTTGCATCATACTGCGAAGAAAAGTTCTCTGAAAAGGAATCTGGAGGTAAGAGACTATTCCTGTGAAGAGTTTGAAAAACCAGGGAGGTAGAGACTTCAGTGTGAAACAAAGGTGCTGTTCCAGAGAACAAAAAGAAGTTTCTCTATGGCTTTCATAGAACAACTTCCCATCAAAGTTCCCAGTACAGTCCATTTATGCAAATACAGGATTCAGACTTAGGTCTGATTGGTTGACTCGGTTGGCTCTGATTCGCCAGTACAACTGAGCCCTGATTGGCAGGGCCAGATGAGCTCTGGTTGGTTGGTTGGTTGGTTGGTTGGTTCAGGTGAGCTCTGAAAGTTCCAAAGTTAGATAGTGGTGTCGGTTTTGGGGAATTCATAGTACATCTGTGAGCTCCACTCGGCACATGGCAGCTTAGCTCTTTTTTTAAATGTAGGCTCAGCCACTGGGATCCTTCTTCAAAGACTGGCTCTTTTCGATTCACATTTGTTCACAAGTTAAAGAAAATGATAGTGACCAATTAAGAAAACTGGGATGATTCTCTCTCTCTCTCTCTCTCTCTCTCTGTCAATGTGATTGTTGTGGGGCTTTTTCACTTTCAAGCACATGCGTCTGACAAAATTAACAAAGTATGGCAAGTTGAGACCATAAAAACAGTTATTTCAGTACAACGCTTTCTCAGAAATGTGATTGGTCCTGATTCTTGACCCAATGGAATGCACTTCCTCTTTCATCATACACTGTCACTCTGGAATAAGGGAGAATGAGTGTGGAAGTGAGGGAGGGCACAGACAAAGCTTCAAAGGTTGACTATTTACTCTTTCTCCTAATCCCAGACATTTTCCCCAGCAAAGTGAAGCTATGTCCTGATTTCACCTGTCATCCCTGAGTAATTCCAAATAGCATCGCTTTCACTCTGAAACATGTCCAAAGGTAGGACCCTGCGCTTCCCAGGATAACTAGATCATGCAGGAAGTTGTGAATGTAGTAGCACTCGTATCTTTGTTGAATAAGCATATAATGAATAAACATGTATTAGATAAGACACTGGCCCCTGACAACCTTTGCTGAATTTTGTGTGGCTAGTCCACACAGCCCTTCTGGATCTCTTGGGTACAGTCCCCTTTCCTGTACTGCACTTTAAAAAAAAAAAAATTCTTTCTCTACAAAGCTGTCTGAGTCCCAGTGTTAAGCCCATGAGAATGTCAAACTGCGATTCCTCCATGGTCTGTGTATCACATTGACTCCTCCCAATAACCCTTTATGGTGTAGACATTTTAGCCTCAATTTTTTGCAGACAACACACAGAGTAACTGAGTAACGCGTCCTGTGATAACACAGCTGATAAATGGAAAAGCAAGGATTCAAATCCACACCAGTCTGAGTCCAGAACCCAAGTACTCGAACATTGTCCTCTGCCATCCTCTCTCATGTTGTAGTGATGGCACCATCAAGGCATGGATACCTAGGGGCAGACAGTCTGAGGTGATCCTCCCCTTCACAGCAAGGATTTTCATAGCTTGATCTTTCCTCGAAGGCAATGTGATCAATTCAGAGGTGTAAAAGCAAAAGCATCTAGTTAGCCTTCCTGCAAAAGTGTACAAGGAACGTGATTTTCTCATGCAAACACGGGAGCTTTTTCAAGCAGCAGTTTTAGCAAATTCGACAATTCCTGTGCTCAATTCCATGTTGCAATAGCTGTCTGAAGCATATGCATAGCCATTCTGTGTTGCCCAATTGTGTCCAGTACGGACGGACTCCAACTCAGGATGGTTTGACTTAAAATTGTTTGACTTTATGATACGTTTAGCTGGACGTCAGTCCACTGGAAGTTGGGGAGCATATGTTCATCCTGTTGCAAATTGGTGACAGAAAGGGTGGGAAGCAGGGAGTGGGGAAAACTTTTCAGGTTAGGGATTTACAGTCATTACCCGATGATCCACATTTAGCTCTGTGGTGGCCAATTTTATGTCTTGTCTTGCCTTTCCAACCAGGGGGAGATACTTCCCCCCCCCCTCCAAATAAGCAAAGATAGAGATTTAGGTAACCTGACTTCATAGAGTGATATAACCCGACTTGGTTTGGTCTGTGGTCAAACTTTATTCTGAATGTTTCTGTGAAGGTGTTTTTGGGTAACATTAACATTTAAATCAACGGATCTGAGTAAGAGAGACTGCCCTCCATAATGGCCTGAATAGAATAAAAAGACTGACTTCCCCCAAGCAAGAGTAAATTCTGTAGCAGACAGCCTTCACACTTGAACTGCAACATCGTTTGTCCCATGGGTCTTCGACCTCATGGACTTTAGCCTTAAAGTGTAATGTCAGCTTGTACCTGAGACTCCAGGCTGCCAGCCCATCCTGCAGATTCAGGACTTGCCGCCTCCATAATCACATGAATCAGTTTCTTAAAATAAATCTCTCTCGATAGATAGATGGATGAACGTTCTCTTGGTTTCATTTCTCTGGAAATCCCTAATACAAGCTTTCTGCACCAAAACATTACTGCAGGGACCTGAGTGTTGTTCACATCCGTAAAATGTCCGGTTATGTATCAGACTTGTTCGTGATATCATTAATCAATACCTTTGCCTTTAATTAGTGACTACACAGTAATGTCAGTATTTTTTCCTGGCTCTTCAGAGATGTCTCTTCACCATTTGATATGACTGTAGACAAAAATATATTCAGTTCAATGGTAAAGCCAAGGACTTAATTACAATTTTGATTACTGAAAAATCACAATCCCTCGAACATTGGTAGAGTCTACGTGGCACATATTAAGCAGAAGATTGAATGAACTTACCCCACTTCTGACCTTGCCAGTTTATTTCACTCCCTTTCATTACCACCTGTATAGGTGACACTCATGTTGGTTAATCTCCATTAAAACAGGGGTTGCTGTAGTAATAAAGCAAGCGTCACCCCTGAGTGAACGGTGATTGTGCCAGGCATTGTTCTAAGTGCTTTACAGGGAACACTTCAATTATCTTTCAGAAGATCTCTTGAGCAAGTGACAATCTTTTGTGGTTCAGTTTCTTCATCCATAAAAATGGAGACAATGGGTCAGTTTCTTCATCCATAAAAATGGAGACAATAATTGTACATATCTTCCTGCAAAGAGGAATCGCAATCATTGTCTCCGTTTTTTATGGATGAAGAAACTGAACCACAGAAGATTGTCACTTGCTCAGGTTCAAATAGGTAGAATATTATCAAGGTAATAATCAAACGTATTTCTACACATTTAAGATGCCAAAGCCAAGATATTCTTATTAGGTATGAACGTGCATTGATTAAATTCTAAGAGTGTTTTTAAAACTCACTGGCCTGTACAGTTTCGTGGAAATTTTAAGCCATGATACTACACGAGACCTTTTTGTCCTTTGTAAAGATAAATTAGGCATGAAATTTTATTTGGCTGCTTTTCCTCTTTTCACTTTCAGTATGTTTTCTCTTTCCGACATTTCATCCTTTTCTGTTCTTAGTAATTAACGTCATCTCTGCCTGTGTACACGGACAGAATAAAGGTGTAAAGCCATTGACAAGTGATTTTCAAAGGATGTAGATGCATAACGGAAGACAATCATTTAACTTCAGACTTTTACTTCCCCTATAAATGCAACTGCTACAACGAAGCCCTAGTACTGCCAGTTTTGTAGATAATGGATGAATTCAGGGACCTAAATCTCAATCTTTGCTTATTTGGAAAAAAATATAACCCTGATTGAAAAGACAAGTAAACCCGGTGACTAGAATAGAGTACCCCGATATTAAATAGTTGAGAAACACGGGGCAAAACTACTGAGGATGAGCAACTGCCGTTTTTCCCATCTCGTTTCCGTATGAGTATTCACTTAGTAATTACATGTCTTTCACCTCCTACCATGCACTTCTCATCTGCTCCAACTCAGTTTAACACTTACAGGGTGCGCACCAAGTCTTTAATGAGAAGGACAACTACCAGATGCAACCGACTACGAGTTATTGTTCAACCCCAGGTCACCGGACAACCTTCATGCTTTCCTTTGAGCTGCACTAGTTTGCAAATGAAGAAGTTGCTGAATCTATCATCGACGGATACCATCTTTATCCAATGTGCAAATGACAACACAGAAAGGGGAGCAAATGTGTCGGATGATAGGATCATTATCAGGATTCAGAGACCTGATAATGAGCAACTCTGAGCCTATCTGCAGCCAGGATGCTTTCCCATCTATGAAATTTGGGTCTGAAGGATCTTAGAAGAGTCAGCTGCAGAAGACTTGGAAGTACAGGGGCAGGCACACGACAGCTGACTTCAAATCCTAGAGGATGGATTAACTACCGTCTCCAGGTCTCCAGCACACAATCCCAGGACTATTGGATAGAAATTACAGGGAGGCAGGTTTGGGCACAATGTAAGCAGTATTATCACCGCAAGGGGCTCAGCCACTCTACTGGACAATAGCCTCAGGCAGGAGTTAAGGTATTGGTGACTAACATGGTGACCCCCAAGGCTCAAATCCTCTGGCTACACTAAGCCCTGTGACTGTGTCACTTCATTGGTACTTGATCCAAGTTGACCCACCTACTGTTTTGCTTTAGAAACTTTAAGCTATAGCAGAGAAAACAGCTTCCACACTTCATGTAAACCCACGTGATTATTTACGAACGTGAGCCCTTAGAAAGGGGAAGGTAAGATAATACCTGAGGTTGCAAATAGGTGTGAATGGTATGATCTGTCTTTGTAGGAAGATATGTACATTAATTGATCACAAGTCTGGATGTCTAATACTTCTATTTGGTGGGATTATAGGTGATTCATTTTTATACACGTGGTTAAAGTAGGTTGGGCATGGTGGCTCATGCCTATAATCCCAGCACTTTGGGAGCCCGAGGCAGGCAGATTGCTTCAGCCCAGTTCAAGACCAGCCTGGGCATAGCGAGACCTCACCTCTACTAATAATCAAAAAGATTAGCTGGGTGTGGTGGAACGTGCCTGTTGTCCCAGGTACTGGGGAGGCTGAGGTGGGAGGATTGCTCGAGCCCAGGAGGTCAAGGCTGCAGTGAGCTGTGATTGTACCACTGCACTCCAACCTGGGAGACGGAGCGGAACCCTGTCCCATAAAAATAAAATAATAATTTTTAAAAAGGGATAAAAGTATTGTTTAAAGGCAGGAATTGAAATGCATGCATTTATACGTATTCCTTATCGTATTAGCATAGACTAAGTGTCTTAACAGAAATGTACTTGCTCACAATTCTAGATTCTAGAAATCTCAAGTTGACGTCCAGCAGCAAGGTCAGATTCTGGCGAGGGCTCCCTTCTTGGCACATAGACAGCCACCTTTCTGTGTCCTCACATGTTGGAGACTGGTCTGTCTCTCCTCATATAAAGCCACAGTCCTATTGGACTAAGCCCTAACTGTTATCACTTTATCACCTAAATGACTTCTGAAACAACCTATCTCCAGATACAATCGCACTAGGGATTAGGGCTTCAAAATATGAATCCGGTGGTCACAGGTGACAAAAGTCAGTTCACAGCATTTACGCTCACCATGAATAGCAGAAATGCTTACTTCATAAAACGGCAAATTCTGTTCAGTAGAAAAACTGTATCAGAAGTTCAGTGTTACGGGTCATTAGAAAATGTGATGTGCTTAATATGGCGTTTGTTAGCAAGTGCCTCCTGTCCCTTTCTCCATCCAACTTCAGTGCTGGATATTAACGCCCATTAAGCTGAAAAAGTTTCCAGAAGGCAAGAGAGCCCAGCTTGAACTCCAGCCCTTATTCAGCTTGAACAGATCACATGAGACCCTGTGTTTTCATTTCTTCACTCTGAGATATGGAGGTTAGTCCACATGACCTTCTCTCCCAAGGTTCGGGAACTCTGTGGTTCCAACTCGAAAGAAAGAGCACCTAGCATCCCCAAGTCAGGACTCACTGGACCTGGACAGAATTGATTATTTCCCCCCACGAATAATCTGCTAACAGTTTTCCTTCAACCATGTTGTTTGGCTGACAAGGTAGCCTTATGTACTTTTCATGCCTTAGAATACTACCAGAATGAACTACAAGAGTCACATGAGAATGATTATATTTCTTATTTTATTGCTACATTGGAGGTGAAAATAAACTGTAAGATGTTGCCAAAGGATGCAACTTCATGAAGATTATGAAACAATTGAGGCACCCATTGTAGAAGGTTAAAATTGGCTTATCCTGTATGAGGTGGAAGGACTACACATACAACTGTCATCAATGGCAAGATTATTGACGGCATCTGCCATGTGGAGTTTACATACCAATGGGAAGTTTAGAAAGGAACTTACGGAAACATTCACTACCCCAGACCTCTTAGCCAGGAAATATAGGTGAGAAGAAATCAGAAGATGCCTGAGATCTCTGCAAACACATAGGTTTATCAAAAAAAAAAAAACAAGCCTAAAACCAAGACCGCCAGGAAATGTTGAAATCTGCTCTTGAGAGGAGATCCCCATTTTAGGATGTTCGGACACAGTCTTTCTCCTGCTGGATAGCTAGTGGGGAAAAGAAACAAGAAATTACAAAAGTATTTTCCTAAGTTCAGCTTCTTCCAGAATAACTCTTTGTAAGTCATTGAAGGCTGCCATACATGCTTTAAATTTGGAATGCCAAGGCATTAACCACGAAACTCACAGTGTGGTGGGTGCATGCATGTGTGTGCACGTGAACCACCTGAACTACCAATTAGAAACTACATCAACTGTAGGGTTTGTTTTTCCAAATGCTGTTGCCATTTTTTTTCCAGATTACTCAAGACTGAGGAGTAATCGGAGAACTTTCTTCAGATCTATTTATCGCTATATACTTAGGAAAGTATACACTTTCAGATAACTTTAACTAATGTTGCAACTTTCAAATAAAACTGACCTAACAAAAGGGGCCTCTCACTCAGGTGTTGTGAATAGGCTTAGAGTTTCTCCATCAGGTTGTAACTCCAAAGGGCAGAATCGATCCCTTGAATCTGAGAGATTTGAGTATACCCAGAAGTAAATTTGTTATCTCACCTTATCTTGTCATCATATATAGAAGGCCAAAACTGCAGATTCTACAGGGTTCTTTAAGGATAACATTATGGACGAAAATTTCTAAATGTAGAAAAATACCAAATACCCAAAAGTAGACAAAATGTAAGTGTCTTTTAGTGCTACATCCAATAGTCCAAGATTGGTTTTAATGTGGTTTTTAATCATTTTCAAACAAGAAACTAGTTTTTTATTGCCCCATCACTACTAGGCCCATCATGGGAGAACCAGAAGAAAACTATTTGATAGTTTTACCCATTGCATTAAATACCATGGTGCTCTAATTATTGCTTACTTTGTGGCAAAAATTTACTAGAAGATTTACCAAACCTATTAACTTTCTCTAATGAATGTTTATTTCCACTAGAACCCCCGCCCCCCCCCCCCCCCCCGGCCCCACCATGACTTACTTTCCTTTGAGGGAAGAGTATTTTTTTCTTCAGTATTAGTTTTCTTCAGTTTTGACCTGTCAAACTTCTCCACTTCTGACAAGTCTGGTTTATCACTCATCTTGACTAGAAGATAGACTGAAAAGAAAAAAATGTGTTATCTTTATTTTTTTGAGACAGGGTCTCACTCTCTCGCCCAGGCTGGCGTGTGGTGGCACAATACCAGCTCACTACAACCTCTGCCTCCTGGGTTCAAGCAATTCCTCTGCCTCAGCGTCCCAAGTAGCTGTGATTACAAACAAGCATGCACCACCATGCCCAGCTAATTTTTGTATTTTTAGTAGAGACAGGGGGTCTCACCATGTTGGCCAGGCTAGTCTCAAACTCCTGGCCTGAAGTGATCAGCCCGCCTCGGCCTCCCAAAGTGCTGGGATTACAGGAGTGAGCCACTGCGCCCCACCAGAAAAAAATATTTTTTAAGAAAACTTACCTGGCAGAACTATCTTCGGACTAAGGGGTCACAAGCAAAAGTTTTCACATTTCATATCAATGTATATTCTACCCACTGATTTTCAACAGAAAAACAGCAACAGATCTTGGAAAAGTTATATTTTTGTTAGAATAATCTTCCATTCCACATCAGTAGCCCATTTTTGGTAGGCAGTAAATGCCATTGGATCAGAATGCACCAGAAACCAAGATGTTCTAGAAACCCAGAGCCAATATGTCTGACTCTTAAATCACAGCAACGGTAAAATGGAGGTGAGAGAAGCACAAGATCAGACAGAGATAGAAGCAAAAATAAAGACCGGCTTTAACCAGTTAACGATTTTATAGCAGCAGATAGCACTATTCGAGCATCTTCACATTCTATTACATTACTTTGGATCTTTGGTATTTTTCCTAGGAGACGGGGAGCAGCACAGACGAACATTAAGACACTACAATAGACGTCTCATCATAGCTCCTCGTGGCATTGGTTTGCACACGTTGTAAGAAGGAACAGCTAACTAGGATGAGACGACCCAGGACTCGAGCAAAATGGAATAAACCAAACCTAAGTGTGTCTTCCTTCACCATCGTTTCTCTGCAGAGAGAGACGCAAAGAGAGGAGGCTCAGGGGTGCATGGCTGTGGACCTGACGGAATGCCTGGCGCCCTGTGAGCGTCCCGAGTTTGTCCAGAAGAGACCAGAGGATATCCCAGAAATCGCAAGGCAGAGCCCTGGTGGGCGAGCCCGGCCCCACCGTGGGGGAGTACGACACTTGGCCTGGTGCCTCGGGTAGAATGGAGAGGCCCCCAAGCAGCCAGAAGTGCCGAACGTGCCTCCATTCCGTCGAGGTGACCCAGGCGAGCGACCAGACTCCAAGCTGGGCGCTGGGAAGTGGAACTAGCCCATAAATAACAGCAGGGCCGGGCGCAGAGGCCAGGCTGCCAGGAGCAGCCGGCACACTTTTCCAGGGAACGATGAGCGTTGCCGGGCGCCCAGCCCGACGGCCGTGGGAGGAGAGGGAACGAGGGCCCAGCCCCAGAGGGCCCGTTCCCGGCGGCCCCCGAACTCCTCATCCCCTAAGCCTCAGACCCGCAGCCACCGCGCACGGGCCGCTTTACGGCTTCGCCCCCGCTCCCCACCGCGGGGCCTTGTTTCACACCCCCGGGAGGGCTCGGCATCCCGCGCAGAGGGCGGCGCCCGCCCGGGGGAGGACAAAGGCGCGGACTCGCCGGGCCGGGCGGCGGTGCAGACGCGAAGCGCCAGCCCCAACCCCGGCCGCTCTGGCTCCCGCGGGCGCGGCTTCCCCAGCTCGCGACCCCCACGCCTTCCCGTCCCCGTGGTCCTCGGGCTCCGCGAGGCCGCACGTCGTCACCTGAAGGGTTGAAGACTCGGGAAAGGCCGCCCGCGGGGCTGAGACCGAGGCCGGCTCCGGACCAGGTTCGCGTTCCCGCGCAGAGCCCCGCCGTGCTAAGCCCCGTGGCGGCCCCGCCTCAGGCCTCTCCCATTGGCCGAGGGCTCCCGGGCTCGCCTCCTTCCCCTCTTCCGCTTGGGCCTCCAGAGCCTGCGCCCACCGTCCGTCTCCTCTGCCGTCAGGGACTTCGTGACGTCAGAGCAGACCCCGCCCACCCAGACCCCGCCTCCCGGGCCTCTCCCACCGCTGTCAGTCCTGAGGGGCCGCATTCCCTTCACCCCAGGTACACTCACTCCTTCACGACAACGGACGGAGGCCTCTTCGATAAGCGGACGCATCTGGCCCAGGGAGCTTAGATCTCCTGACCGGGGTCCAAGCGGAATGACCGGTATTTAGGCGCTGTCGGCTTTTCATGGCCAGTGGGGCCTAAGGAGGCTCTGACAACCTAACGGGAGGTTGGGACTGGGGCTCGGTGCTTTCTGCTCTAATCCTGGGCCAGGTCGTGGAGTAGGGACTCTCATGGCGCGAGTGGGTGGTTCGGAACCATTCGCCCCTTCAACTGGACATTTCTGTGACAGCTCTGCTCGCCCATGAAATGTCAAAGTCACATTTGCAACGTTCTCAGCCACTGGACACAATAGCAGTTGATAATCACCACAGACCAACTGAGGCTATTCGCCTTTGCATCCCAATCCCTAGCCCTTTGGCCCACAGGACACACTAGTTGTGGAGATGTCTGTAGATGGAAGGAACAAATCCGTGATAGAGAGGGATTTTTTGACAACAGCGCCACCCAGTGTCTGTTGGAAGACAAAATTGCGGACCTGGTATTTATTTGAAAGGACTAAACGTTCAAGATCATTTCCTGGATTCTCACCCAGAACCTTAGAGCGTTAAGACGGAGGTAGAGCTATGCCTTTAGCTTGCACCGCGTGTCTGTTGGTATACATCCATATAGATCATATGTCACTCTTTCCACAAGGATTTCTCAAGCTTTCCCACCTCACTTCATTACCTTTTCTTTGCTTTTGTAGCACTTTCTGCTAATTTGAGAATTGTGTATGTTTTGATGGAGAAACTTTTAAAACAAAAAGGCATAGTCATTCAACAAATAATATATTGAGTGCCTACAACGTCCCTGGCATTAAATATAACAAACACCAGTGTTTCCACTACTCAGATTTCAATGTTGTTAACATTTAGGTATATTGACTTTGTCTTTCTTTTAAGGAATGAAACCTTTACAGAAAAAATCGAGGTTTCCTTGACCTTCACTCCATTTCCATTCACCTTTCCTCTTCCCCAGGGGCAGTCCTATCCTGAATGTGATGTGTAGCTTCCAGTGTATTTTTTTAACTTTTAAGTTCAGGGGTACATGTGCAGGTTTGTTACATAGATAAACTGCATCATGGACGTTTGTTGTACAGATTATTTCATCACCCAGATGTTGAGCCTAGCACCCATTAGATATTTTTCCTGATCCTCTCCATCCTCCCACCGTCCACCCCCTGGCAGGTCCCAGTGTGTGTTGTTCTCCTCTGTATCCATGTTTTCTCATCATTTAGCTCCCACTTACAAGTGAGAACATGTGGTATTTGGTTTTCTGTTCCTGCATCAATTTGCTAAGGATAATGGCTTCCACCTCCATCCATGTCCCTGCAAAGGATATGATCTCTTTCTTTTTTATGGCTGCATAGTATTCCATGCTGTATATATACCACACTTTCCTTTATCCAGTCTACCATTGATAGGCATTTAGGTTGATTCCATGTCTTTACTATTGTGAATAGTGTTGCAAAGAACATACCTGTGCATGTGTCTTTACAATAGAACAATTTCTATTCCTTCGGATATATACTCAGTAATGGAATTGCTGGGTCAAATGGTATTTCTGTCTTTAGAGTTTTGAGAAATTGCCACATTGTCTTCCACAATGACTGAACTAATTTGTACTCCCACCAACAGTGTACAAGCATACTTTTTTCTCCACAAGTTTAACAGCACCTGTTATTTTTTGACATTTTAATAATAGCCATTCTGTCTGGTGTTAGATGGTATCTCCTTGTAGTTTTGACTTGCATTTCTCTAATGATCAGTGATGTTGAGCTTTTTGTATTTGATTGTTGGATACATGCATGTCTTCTATTGAAAAGTGTCTGTTAACATTCTTTGGCCAGTTTTTAATGGGCTCTTTTCTTATGAAATCTTTGCCCATAACTCTGTCCTGAATGGTATTACCTCGGTTGTCTTCCAGGGTTTTTATAGATTTGGGTTTTACATTTAAGTCTTCAATCCATCTTGGGTTAATTTTTCTATATGATGTTAAGAAAGAGTCCAGCTTTAATCTTCTGCATATGGCTAGCCAGTTATGCCAGCACAATTTGTTGAATAGGGAACCTTTCACCATTACTTGTTTTTCTCATGTTTGTCAAATATCATATAACTGTAGGTGTGTGGTCTTATTTCTGGCTTCTCTAGTCTGTTCCATTGATCTAAATGCCTGTTTTTATACCAGTATCATTGTTTTGGTTACTGTAGCCATGTAGCATGGTTTGCCTCCAACTTTGTTCATTTTGCTCAGGATTGCCTTGGTTATGTTTTGGTTCCATGTGAATTCTAAAATATTTTTTCTAGATATGTGAAGAATATCAATGATGGTTTAATAGGCATAGCATTGAATCTATTAATATAAATTGCTTTGGGCAGTATGGCCATTTTAATGATATTGCTGCTTCCTAGCCCTGAGTGTGAAATGTTTTTTCATTTGTTTATGTTATCTCTGATTTATTTGAGCAGTTCTCCATTTGTTATTTGTACTTCTTTTTTTTTTTTTGAAATCTTTCACTTCCCTAATTAGCTGTATTTCTAGGTATTTTATTCTTTTTGTGGCAGTTGTGAATGGGACAATGGGAGTTCATTCGTCATTTGGCTCTTGGCGTGACTGCTGTTGGTGTATAGGAATGGGAGTGATTTTTGCACATTGATTTTATATGCTGAGACTTTGCAAAAGTTGCCTATCAGCTTAAAAAGTTTTTGGGCTAAGATGATGGCATTTTCTAGATATAGGAGCAAGTCATCTACAAATAGGGATAGTTTGACTTCCTCTCTTCCTGTGCGAGTGTGATTTATTTCTTTACCTTGCCTGATTGCCCTGGCCAGAAGTTCCAATACTATGCTGAATAGGAGTAATGAGAGACGGCTTCTTTGTCTTGTTGCCTGTTTTCAAGGACAATTCTTCCATCTTTTGCCCATTCAGAATGTTGTTGGCTATGGGTTTGTCATATATGGGTCTTACTATTTTGAGGTATGTTCCTTCAATACCTAGTTTATTGAGAGTTTTTAGCATGAAGGGATGTTGAATTTTATCAAAAGCCTTTTCTGCATCTATTAAGATAATCACGTGGTTTTTGTCTTTAGTTTTGCTTATGTGATTAATCACATTTATTGATCTGCTTATATTGAACCAGCCTTGCATCCCAGAGATAAACTCTACTTTATTGTGGTGGATAAGCCTTTTGATGTGCTGTTGGATTCAGTTTGCCAGTATTTTGTTGAGGATTTTTGCATCAATGTTCATCAAGGATATTGGCCTGAAGTTTTTGTTGTTGTATCTCTGCCAGGTGTTGGTGTCAGGATGATGCTGGCCTCATAGAATGAGTTAGGGCAGAGTCCCTCCCCCTCAATGTTTTGGAATAGTTTCAGTACAAATGGTACCAGCTCTTCTTTGTACATTTGGTAGAATTCAGCTGTGAATCCCCTGGTCACAGGCTTTTTTCAGTTGCTAGGCTACTTATTACTGCCTGCATTTCAGAGCTCACTACTGATCTGTTCAGGAATTCAGTTTCTTCCTGGTTCAGTCTTCGGAGTGTGTAGGTATCAGGAATTTATCCATTTCTTCTAAAGTTTTTAATTTATGTGCATACAGTTGTTCATAATATTCTCTGATAGTTGTTTGTATTTCTGTGGGGGTCAGTGGTAATATTCCCCTTGCCATTTCTGATTGTATTTATTTGAATCTTCTCTCTTTTCTTCTTCATTAGTCTAGCTGGTGGTCTATTAATTTTATTCATTTAAAAAAATCAGCTCCTGGATTCATCGATCTTTTGACTGGCTTTATGTGTCTCTCTCTCTCTCCTTTAGTTCAGCTCTGATTTTGGTTATTTCTTGTCTTCTTCTAGCTTTGGGATTTGTTTGCTCTTGATTCTCTAGTTCTGTTGGTTGTGATATTAGGTTGTTAACTCAAGATCTTTCTAACTTTTTGAAGTAGGCATCTAGTGCTATAAATTTCCTCTTAATACTATCTTAGCCATGTCCCAGAGATTCTGGTATGTCATATCTTTGTTTTCCATTAGTTTCAAAAAACTTCTTGATTTCTGCCTTAGTTTCATTATTTACCCTAAAATCTTTCAGGATAAGTCTTTCATGGAGTTGTAATACAATTACCATTTCCATGTAATTGTATGGTTTTGAGTGAATTTCTTATTCTTGATTTCTAAGTTGATTGTACTGCGGTCCAAGAGATTCTTCGTTATTATTTCAGTTGTTTTGCATTTGCTGAGAAGTGTTTTACTTCCATTTGTGTGATCAGTTTTAGAGTATGTGCCATGTGATGATGAGAAGAATGAATTTTCTGTTGCTTTGGAGTAGAGAGTTCTGTAGATGCCTATCAGGTCCATTTGGTCCAATGCAGAGTTCAGGTCTTGAATATCTTCGTTGATTTTCTGTTACAATGATCTGTCTAATATTGTCAATGAATCTCCTACTATTATTGTGTGGGAATCTAAGTATCTTTGAAGTTCTCTAAGAGCTTGCTTTGTGAATCTTGGTGCTCCTGTGTTGGGTGCATATTAGGATAGTTAGATCTTCTTTTGAATTGAACTATTTACCATCATGTAATGCCCTTCTTTGTCTTTTATGATCTCTATTGGCTTAAAGTCTGTTTTATCAGAAACTAGGATGGCAACCCTTGCTTTTTTTTCTGATTTCCTTTTGCTTAGTAGATTTTTCTCCATCCCTTATGTTGAATCTATGTGTGTCATTGCATGTGAGATGGGTTTCTGGAAGATAGCATACCAATGGGTCTTGGTTCTTTATCTAGCTTACCACTCTGTCTTTTAATTGGGGCATTTAGCCCATTTACATTTAAGGTTAATATTGATATGTGTGGATTTGATCC